CATCTTCTCATCTTTCCTACTACCTTCTTTTATTATCTTCTAATTTATCATTTGTTGTTTCTATTTTATGATTTATGATAGTAACTATGATTTATGATCTATGATGTATCACTTCGTTATTTGTATATACACTGAGAACTTATGCATGGAGACAAATTCCTTGTGTGTCCAATCATACTTGGCCAATGAAGAATATTCTATTCTGTTCTGTTCTATTAAGACAACAATTGACCTAGCTGGCATTTTACAGTGCTTGTCAAACCTGTACTTTACCTTGAAATATTTTAGGGAATCTGTTGTAGTAGTTAAGGCACCAGCTAGAATCTGGAAGGCCATGAATTCTAATCCCACCTTAGGCACAAAGCCAGCTGGGTGACTTGAAGGCACACAAAAAAAACATTGAACTGCAGCATAATATATTAATTCTTAAGATAAATGTTTACTGGTTAAATAGAATGTTATATACTCATGTGAGTTTTGAAGGAATTTCCAGCATTCTTGTTTTGGAAAAACTGATCAGGACCTTGGACAGAGGACACCAAATAGGAGGGAACTAATATTCAATTTGCAAAACATAATAAGGACCATTTAAAGATTGTAGTTCCTCAAATTAAGACAAAAACAGGAAATTAACACATATAGTCTAATAGTGTCAGGAACAGGAAGTAAATCACAGTTGCCTTCCATCTAGGTCTAGGATTTAATGTCTTAAAATGTTGCAAAACAAACATTGAAATTGAGTAAGGTTTTCTTTTAAGATCATGAAGAAAAACAAATTCTCTTATAATTTGAAAATCTAGGGTAGCTATTTACAATGTTAGGTGCACCAAGGGAAACTCAAGAGAGCCATCTACTGACTTAAATCTGTGATAAAATGCACACTTCTAGCAAGAACAAAATATTGATAAGTAAGACTTTTGGTTAGAACAAAGATCTTTTAACAGACTTGCAGAAGGAGAGCATATATTGTACTGATAGCCTGTGTGACCACCAACTAAATAGGTATTGTAATTTTAGGCCAATGTTTCCACTTTATAATTGAAGAACAAAATAATTTGAAATAATATCAATGTTTCAGATTGTTTTCTATTGTTGTAGCTATATGGTAAATAGGAAGTTTTGGGAATAATAGTGCATATCTTATATGATTACTAATTTAGTCCTAGACTGGCTTTATTTTTTTATATTAATTTATATTCAAGATGAATATTTGCAGACTCCATTTAAAATATATCACAACATCCCTTTTATAGCCAAATCTAGGGTAGAAAAAAAATGTTGCTTTTTACTGGACAAGACTCAAAACAAAACAAATATGCAGGTTGATACCTTGTAATCATTAACTGTCATTAACCGGCTTAGAAGGAAAAAGTAGATAGCCATGTGTAACGCTAAAACCATGACATATAGAATTCTTTATTGGCCAAGTGTGATTGGACACACAAGGAATTTGTCTCTGGTGCATAATCTCTCAGTGATAGATCATAAATCATAGTTACAATTACTAATCATAAGATACAAACAATGTGATAAATCATAAGATACTATTAGAGAAGATAGTAGGAAAGATGAGAAGATAAGAAAGAATAAGAAGATGAGAAGAGTAAAAGCAATACAGCCCTACTACATGGGTAAATATCTTTAGGCCTAAGACACTGCTGTGAGAAAGGTGTTCGGCAAAGTGACAGCATGGGGCGGGGGGTATCTTTGTGTTTAGCTGTTTTGGTATGGAATGCCCTATAGCAGCATACTGAGCAGAGAAGTTGAAACAGTTTATGTCCAGGATGTGAGGAGGTCTCTGGATATTTTCTCAGCCCCCTTTATGGTCTATGCATAATGCAGATCCTCAATGGAAGGCAGGCTGGTTGGAATTGTTTTTTCTGCAGTCCTAACTATCAGTTGAAGTCTGTACCCCTCAGACTATTATTGAGGTACAATCACAGACTCAGTAATTCCCCTGTAGAACTGTATCAGTAGATCCTTGGACAATCGAGTCATATTCTAATATATGACCCTTAGATTGTCCTAGTAAGTAATAGCTTCTTCTCACAGGGTTAATACACATTCAGTTTCTAATCAAGTAGTAGTCTAAGGCCTTTTCACAAATACTTATACTTTTTCTTGCTGTTCTCTCAGTTTCCTAGTTCATTTTTTACATTTCCCGTCGGCTTAACTTTGAATTTTTTTCTTTCCAACTTTACAATTACCATATGTGATATACATCAGTTACTGTTGGTAAGCCATTACTATCTATACTGCCTTAGTCTTTCTATTTCACTCAGCCTCCTTACTTTTCCTAGCTTTTCTTCTTTTACGGTCCTTCTTTCCTCTCTGTCTGTCTATTCTGTTCTTTTTTTCCAGCAATTCTAGCCAATTTCTTACCAATAGCTTTGTGCACCTCACTTCAGTATGTATGCTTCTAAGTGCTATTCAATTAAAACAATACTTAGTATACAAGCAAATGTACCATGTTAGGGAAGAAGCTAAGTTATAAGTTGAGACATTCAAGTTCACTTGGCATAAAGGTCTTTGTATCATCAATAGCTTACATTAATGAACTTCACCCAGCTGAAACACAAAGGAAATAATACAGTGTGATATTTCAAAAGTTCCCTCAGGTCCTGGTTGCCTGAGGTTATTGAGCAAATCACTCAACCTGTCTACTGAGTCTAGACTTTCCTTAATATGATGTGAAATAACTCTTCCATGACCCAGAGATTTACAGAGAGCAGAATTACTGCTATTATAACCTGCACTTTTTGTTTTAATTCTAGTGTAAATGGAATGAAATACATTAACTCTGGAATCACTTACCGTATTTTTTGGAGTATAAGATGGACCTTTTTCCCTCAAAAAAGAGGCTTAAAATCTGGGTGCGTCTTATACACTGAATACAGCACTTTTTGCCTCCTAAAACACCGCCGCCTTCATCAAAATGGCCATGCAAAGCTTGTAGGAGGCTTTCAAAGAGTTCCTGGGAGTTGAGGAGGGCAGAAATGAGCAAAAAATGGGCCATTTTTGCTCAATTTTGCCTCCACCCCCAGCTCCCAGGAGCACTCTATAAGCTTTCTAATTCTCTTTTTTTGACAAAAATGGGCCGGTTTTCTCAAAAAATGGGCCGTTTTTTGCTCGTTTTTGCCCCCCCCCAGGAACACTCTACAAGCCTCCTAAGGGCTATTCATGCCCTTTTTTTTTGAGAAAAATGGGATGTTTTGGGGAGGTTTACAGAGTGCAAAAACTTTTTTTAAAATTTGCTTCTTCAAAACCTTGGTGTGTCTTATATTATGATGCGTCTTATACTCTGAAAAATATGGTAAATTGTGTAATTGTTATTTTCCAAACTGATAAAGACTCAAGACACAGTTATATAACACAACAATCTGCAAGTTTTTCCATTAACAGTGAAAAAATATCTCACAGAAAGTCTGTTAGAAACAAAACTAATAAAATGATAGCTTAACAAATTATAGAAAAAAAATTGGCTCTAAATAGGAAAGAGTTCAGTTGCTGATATTCTTGTAATCCCATCTGTTTCATCTCAGGAAATCTTACTTTCAGTCTGAGGCAACAGGAAAACAGCCTGACAAACAATAGTACAGATATTGTAATTAAATGAGCAAATGTATATTGCTTATGCAACTTATCATCCAGAACAGATACTGATTTGGCAAAGAATAAGAAAGATGAGTAATAGTTGAATGAAGTAACTTACTCTTCCTTTCATGTTCAAATTATCTGTCACATTTTTATCTAGCGTATGTATTTCTTTTCACACTTTATGCAACTGGGGATGAACTTGGCACCTTGGTTTTATCCCTCCATAAAAATAGGGCTATTATCTTTAGTGAAGATGTAGGCTTTTCTACAGAGAAAAATGGCTCTCTACTAAACATGGATATATATATATATATATTAAAGTATATATATATAGTTTTATTTCCTATTTATTTACAACTGTACTCTGAGACATATCAGAAGCAACCCATCTCTTAAAAACAAATAATAATTGAATAATTGCCTCTCCAAAATGCAGAATTTTAATTCTAAAAATACTCAATAAATTTTCCCAGCCTGCTTAAATTCACATTTGCTCTGCAAACAAACAAAGCAATAAAAGCAGCACCACTTTGTAAAGGCATGTCCAGTTATTGAGTGATATTTCATTAAATTTCACAAATCCTAGTAGCTGTTTGTTTCTGCGTAAATGACTACAGGAGGATCTAGGCAATTCAAGAGAGCTAGCTGACAACAATGAAACCTTCTCTCTCACTTATCTCTTGTAAGCTGAAGAATTTACATTCAATATTAATATTGAATATTATTAATATTATTAATAATATTAATATTATTAATATTATTAATATTAATAATATTGATAATATTAATAATATTAATAATATCAATAATATCAATAATATTAATAATATTAATAATATTAATAATATTAATAATATNCACAATTCAGGACTTTCGCTTCAAAACACAACACAGGCGCACACAAAAGAGATAGACGGACAGAAAGCACACAAGCGCGCACACACACACCTTGGCGCCGCAACCTCCTCTTCTTGAGCCCAAAGATGCGGACCTTGGAGAAGATATCCACCAGGTTGCCATTGCAAATCCCGCGGTTCTTGCTGGGGCTGTTGCGCCTCCTGTTGGCCGAGGGCCGGTCCCAGTGCTGCAAATCGCGCGCTTGACGCTTCTGGCGGATCAGACCGCTGGCGATGGCCGCAGCCATGGCCCCTCGGTTCCCGCGCTTTCCCGGGGCGCCCGGCTCAAGCTCACCGCGGAAAGGGCGCCGGGCTTGCCTCGGCTCAGCCTAGGCACGACCCCATCGCCTTACGAGCCAAGGGCAAGGACGACAAAGTCACGGGGTCACCACCCATGAAACCTCCGAGGGCTTCGGACTGAAGCAAAGCAACAAGCGGCAGCCGAAGCAGCAGCAGCAGCGGCGGAGGTCTGTCTAAGATTGCGACGGTGCCTCCACGACGCCGGGCTCATGCCCGCTTCTCCATGACGGCGGCAATTGCCGCTTCCATCGCTCGGGTCACCGCCGCGTCTTCCTCCTCCTCCTCAGAGCTGCCGCCGAGTGCTTCGGAAAGCAGCATCTGGAAAGTGTACGCTTCGGCTCCTGAGAGAAAAAGACTTCATATCAAGGCACTTCGGTCCCACCCTTGCCGACACCCCGCCACACACAGAGACACACACAAACACACACGCACACCCTCCCTCTCCCTTCCCAAGGCAACCGAGGGAGGGGGTTTGTCCTTGGGGCGTGGGTGGGGAGTTAAAAGCGGGGCGATTCCCCAAACCCAGCAACAACAAGCGTTTTGGGGCGGGCGGGGGGAACAGGAGGAGGCAACTGCAAGGCGGCGGAGGGGTGGATGAGGGATGGGGTGGCTCGGTGGGATTGATGAAAAAGGCTCGGCCGGCCAAGGGAAGCCACACAAGCGGCCGCCCCCTCGCCTTCCAAGCGGGGCTTTTGTGATCGCCGCTCAGCACGCGCGCGACAACGGGGAAGCGCGTGGCGTGGAGTGGGGGGGGGGAGAGAAAGAAGGTGCCCGGCGGGGTGGGGAAATGGGAGGGAGGTCGCGCCATACGCGGGTGTGGGAGAGCGAGGGGAGAGAGAGAGAGAGAGACGAGGAAGGGGTGTCTCTTGAGGGAAAGAAACGGGGCGCGAGGGACGAAAAGAGTCCGGAGCCCTCCAAGGCGGGAAGGAAGCGAAGTTAATAACCTGCCGTCTGGGTTTTCCTCCCAGCTCCGGAAAGTCTCTCCGTTGGGACTAACGCCCTTGGCACCCAAGGCTCCGAACCGGCGGCGACGGCGCGTCCCTGGGACCCTCCCAATTTGTAATCCCCAACCCTCCCTTCCTCGGGCATCCCTCGTAGGCTCCACACCATCGGACCCACGATTTGACCTTCCGGACGGGAAAGGTGACTCGTGTGGAAAACGGCGCTTCGGGCAGCCGTGACAACAAAGAGCGATGCGTGGCGGTGTCTGGAGAGCGAATCCCCCTCGTGGCTTCGCTTCCTTCCGCGCGCCGGCCTCTTGGTAAATCCCGGCAGGGCGGTACCCCTCTCCCCGGGAGCGCTCTCTTGACTAGCTGGGCTACCCGAAGGGCTACCCCCAGTTCCAGGAGGCGAAGGGTTGGCAGCTTTGGGGGTGGAGTGTGGGGAGGGGGGGGGGCTTTGGTTATCCAGGTGCCCGGCTTCTCCCTGGCTAGACTGCAGTAGAGGTCACTCCATCTAAAACTGGGCGGTAGGGTTTGGGAGGGATGTGATCCTCCCCAAAAACGCAACTGCCCAATTTTCAGCCTGGATTTCGCCCGATTCTTTCTGCATTCTCTCTTCATTTTGCTTGGAGGCGCTGATACTTTTCGCGAATGTGAATTGTCACCAAATGAAGCAGGAGGAGAAGGGGAAGGAAGGAAGGAGGGAGCCCCTTTTCTTTTTGCTCCAGTTCACACCTGCTTTTAAATCTTATATTCCTAGACTACATAACAGCCGAATGCCCACAAATTGAACCTCAGGCTCCTGATGTCTCAGGAGTTGTTTGGGTCTGGTTAGAGGGTGGGGGGGAGAAACCCTTCAGGCTCATAAGTAATCATTTGAAAGGAAAATGTTTAGAGGGAGAAAAAGAGGGGGAAATCTGAAATGTTTAGTACTGAAACAAAATACACACATTTATAGTTTTAAAAAGCAACATGTACATGCCTACAGACAAAGAGAGTACAGGTATACAAAAGGTATAATCTCCATAAATAGACAACAGAGGTGCACCAAAGGTAGAAATAAGTCCATTCAAATAATATTCAAACATTTACTTGTCGATTT